GAAACCACGGCAACGGCCACCACAACATTATCTGCCTATAATATACACATATATCAGGTTGTTGATCTCCCAGGTCGACATGGACGGAATACCGTGCTCCTTCTGTACCCGCTGAATATTTAGATTATATACCTGAATGACAATGTGTATCTTGTCAGTGTGGGTGGAGGAATGAATACTAAGATGAATGTACTTGTGCATCTGTATGAAGGTGGACGTTCTTGTAGACTCAAATGTCCATTAGGCATTAATTTAAACGTGTAGACCTGGACTGAAACTCTGCACGAGACAGAGAAAAGAGCAGTCGCCCTGTGTTGGTTTGCTAAGAAACTTACGTTTTTAATTTTATCATCATTCTAAATAATTAATAACTGTTATCGGGATTATGCGTATTTAAACTGATATATTTACTTATCAACCAGCTACCCGTAAAGGAATAGGAATACCTAGATATATCTAACGAATCGATGACAGGAGAAACAGCGGCGAAGGGAGATAACTCTCGATCTTTCATCCATGCATGTGCCCAACAGTGAGTAAAGTGATCGTAAAATACCCAGTGTTACTGCATCGGCTTCCAGGCTATATAACAGCTATCTATGGGTATGGAGTTCGGACTTTCCATCGGAGATTCCTCTAGTAAATTGAACTAGAAGGCAGCAACACACCGGTTCAGGCCAAATGGTACCTTAATATGTTAAATTGATAATAAATATTCTCGGTATTACAACTTCATATTTGATTAACACCAGACTCAGGTTACCTGCCTTTCCTGTTGTGTTGCTGTCACCTAGTCGTTGTAAGATTCAAGGAAGGAAAACAAACGCATGTGTATACCATTATTCCATATTTATTTAGATATATTCAACAAATGGAATGGCATGTGCCAAAAGAAAGTAATTAAAGCAGGGCCAAAAGTGAGCTGAAAAACTGTTCTCCCATATCAGAGAGCTGAATAAGCTTAGAAATGTCAGCCAAAGGGTGGGCCAAAACAAATGAAAAGAAGATGTGTCCAAACATAAGCCGAAAGAGTGTAGTCAAAACAGTCCAAAAGGGAGAAATGCTTATTACAGGGGCACCAAACCACAACCTCTTACACAAACACACATGCAAAACACATCCTCTTATACAAACACTCAAACACACATGCGAAACACATCCTCTCACACATACACACTGACACTCTCTATCACACATACACACGCTCTGTCACACATACACACTTGCATTCTCTGTCACACATGCAAAAACACATCCTCTCCCACATACACACTGACACTCTAGCACACATACACACACTCTGTCACACATACACACTTGCATTCTCTGTCACACATACACACTTGCATTCTCTGTCACACATGCAAAAACACATCCTCTCACGCATACACACTGACACTCTCTAGCACACATACACACACTCTGTCACACATACACACTTGCATTCTCTGTCACACATGCAAAATCACATCCTCTCCCACATACACTGCCACACATGCAAAAAACACATTCTCTCACACATACACACTTACACTCTCTGTCACACATGCAAGAACACATACTCTCACACATACATATTAACACTGTATCACACATGTGCAAAAACACATCCTCACACACTCTGTCACACATACACACTTGCATTCTCTGTCACACATTCAAAAACACATGCATTAGGGTGATCGGTTTTATTGTCATCTGCTTTGCTTTTTTGTGATCAAATTTCATTTTTCTGGACAAGGTAATGTTAAATTTGAGACACTTTGACAAAAATTACCCAGATATTTCAATGACAACTTTTCATACAATGTTACTTGGGGTGACGCTTCTTTTGCAGTTCAGTATATATAGTCTGCAATCATCATATTGGCCTTTGGAAAAATGAAAATGAAAATAATATTTTTCGTCATATGAAATAGAAGAAAGATGGTTCCACTTCAAAAACCTTCCTTGGTGTGCAACAGTTTACAGCTAAGGGTTTTGGGGTATGTGGGGAGAATGTCTCAAAACTTCAGGAATTCAAATTTATATCAAACATCAAATTTTGTCCACTACTTTTATTCCTACACAATTTCAGATCTCTCAGTCAAGGTTCACAGCATACACGCTTTTCAAATAAAAAGCTTGTTACATGTTTATCAGTTAAATGTACTTTGTTGATTTGTTGTCTAACACCACACTCAGCAATATTCCAGCTACATGACAGGGGTCTGTGAATAAATGAGTCTGGACCAGAATCCAGAGATAGACATCATAAACATTGATCCTCACAATTGGGATACGATGACATACATCAACAAGGTCAGCAAGCCTGACCACCCGATCCCGTTAATCGCCTCCTACCACAAGCAATGTCGCCTTTTACGGGAAGTATGGGTTGATGAAGACCTCTTCTAACCTGATGGTGGGTCAAATGTACTACTAAACATCTTGACTGTTTGAAAATACAAACAGAAGTTTACCGAATGTAAACTTTGTCATAAGAAAAGCACCTCCCTTCCCTCATGTGTGTTGTGTTTGCTATTTGAAGTGATGTTCTACTGTTTTAAATATTGGAGCATCCATCATGGAAGAGAAATAAGTTATGGTGCTGCAGAGTGAGTGAGTGAGTTGGGTTTAACGCTACCTTGAACAGTATTCCAGTTATATCACGGCATGTCAGCTTTATGTGGGAGGAAAGCCCAAAGTGATGCAGGTCTCAGATGTTTACCACTTCGGTAAAAAACACCAGCACGGGTGTGGTGCCTACAAACCTAGAAACATAATCGGGGCGAACCTGGATTTGAACCCACAATCAAAGGTTTCTGGCGTGCCCAAGGGGCGCCACTCTGGACAGCGAATCACGGTGCCTTAGACAGCTGGGCCACCTGTGCCCCCTGATGCTGCAGAGAAACACTGACAATGATACAAATGGATGGTTTGTTGTTTAACCCCACACTCAGCAATATTCCATATTCCATCTATATGACAGCCGTCTGTAAATAATCGAGTCTGGACCAGACAATCCTGTGATTAATATCATGCAATTGGGATCGATGACATGCATCACCTAAGTCAGCGCGCCTGACCACCCGATCCCGCATAGTCGCCTTTTCAGGCAAGCATGGGTTGCTGAAGACCTATTCAACCCTGGATCTTCACGAGTCTGACCATGATACAAGGGAGGATGTCAACATCATAGGTAGCTCCTGTTTGACCATCTACCTGGTTATTCATCATCTCACCTGCCTCCAGGTGTAATGGTCTACCTGTTCCTCTAGGTTTAATGCCCCTTTGAATAGGATTACAGTCATATCAGCTTCATATGGGAGGATAGCCCGAAGTGATGCAGGTCTCAGACATTTACCACTTTGGTGAACCTAGAACAGGGATGGTGCTGACACACGTAGAAACATAATCATGGGGAATTGGGCCAACCCCATCCTTCTATAGATCTGAGAAGTCCTGTATGTACTCACGACACATAATGTCAAACAAAAACCTGTGTATAATAAGCAAGAACAAAACAAAAAAGTCAAGGGTAAAAAGAGGCATAGATGTTTTAATGGCTATTTACAAATATATAGAGTGTATATAATTGTGACTGTACCAGAAGTCTTGTAGTGGAAAGATATCAGCACCAGTTAGCGATCTTTCTGTAGGTCACTTGGCATTTCCCTCCTAAGGCCAGATGTAATCAAGAGTCAGTCAAACTGGTCTATCCAGAAAGCCAAATAGCACAGTTCACAATTAATACATCATTATGTACTCATTCCTGACCGCCTCACTTCTTAACACCCTGCCTCGCATCATTTATTGTTTTTAATGCCTTGAAAAGTGTCATTAACATAATCAATAAAATATTAATAAATATGCTTTCCAACTCATAGTTTTTAAAAATGTCATCACAAAGTTCTCAATTTATAAAGAAATAATAGACGCAATGCTTCAAATCCTACTGGAATTCTGTAAGCAAGTTTTAGAGAGGCCATAATTGGGATCATTCATTCAAAGTTCCAGCTCCCCATGCTTTGTGAGTTTCAGGGAAAATGTTGAAAATGTAGTAAACTGGTAACTAGTTAACAGGGTATGTGAGGTCAAAGGTTGTAGCTTGATTAAAATCAAAATATTGCAAAAAACATCATATTCTGCACACTACACGCTTGCTGCATAGCAAATGAAATGAGTTTGCCACTAATGTGGCTATATCCCCCACCCCTGTTGCAGAATTTATGACATTATTAAATCTAAACAAACCCTAACCTTTTTTAACCGAGGTGGAACTTGTCATGGAAATTGTAAAAAAAAGAAGAGTTTGGAACCAAAGTCCATCTTGCTGCTATGGAAACGTTAAAAAAAAATAATTCTAAAGTTTCTAAATAGCAAAAGGCACCAGTTCAGCATGTACCTGACAGACCTGCAAAGTTTGATGAAAAAATCGGGTGCAGGCTAAAACGGCACCTCAGCAAAACGTCACCGATTTCTCTGGCGAAAACGGCACCGCATTTGGCGAAAACGGCTACTATGTGTCGGGCGAAAACGGAATATTGAACGGTTAATGAGTTATGCTCCGGAAATGAACCCTACCCTAACAGAACCTAAGTCCATCTTGTTGCCATGGAAAAGTAACAAAATAAAATTTCTAAAATTTCTAAATAGCAAAATGCACCAGTTCAGCATGTACCGGTACCTGACAGACCTGCAAAGTTTGATGAAAAAATATTGAACGGTGTATGAGTTATGCTCCGGAAATGAAATGTGACGGACGGACGTACGTACGGAGCCCGTTTCTATATCCCCCGCCAACTTTGTTGGGCGGGGGATAATAATGATACAGGCAGAAACAAAAAATGCCTGATATGTGGGCAAAAATATGGCCACCATGGCAGCCATTTTAAATGTTTTTTTGTTTGTTTGTTGTTAATGCTGCACTCAGCAATATTCCAGCTATATGACGGCGGTCTGTAAATAATTGAGTCTGGACCAGACAATCCAGTGACGTAATTGGGATACAATGACATGCATCAACCAAGTCTGTGAGCATGACTACCAGATCCCGTCAGTTGCCTCTTACAACATGCATAGTCGTCATTAAGGGCAAGCATGGGTCGCTGAAGACCTGGATTCTAACCCGGATCTTCGCGGGTACAGCCATGTATAAAATTGGATCGGAATGATGTGAGCACTTTTTAGAGACACCATAGCTAGGATTATTAAAACACAGTTTCAGCTTCACAGGCATTGTTTTTCAGAGGATATGTAAAAAATGTGAATGATAATGACAGACAACCTTACAATGCCCCCAAAACTAAGATCACTCGATTTTCAGTCAGGTGAGGTAATACTTTGGATGGCTGAACACAACCTTCTTGAAAAGTATAAAAAATAACCACTGTATCACAGGAAACACAACAAATAATTTGAACATAATCAATAGATGAATTTTGTGTAAACAGAAATATGCACGTGTTAAAATCACACAGTTTGAATTAAACCATGTAAGGATGCCTGAGGGTTACATAAACAAAACTAGAATTTTATCAATAAAAAAGTATAATTCAGTGACTTTGAATAGACACGCCGCGCTACCACATTGCATTTCAGTGGTATGTATTGATGGGTGAAGTTATGGAGTCTACTTAAACCTATGAAGTACATGTGATGTGATTTCAATTAGGCAACATGCAGATCGTAAAAGCTAGCACCTCAACAGTTCTAACACAAGCGCTGCATGTCTTGCCCCCCTTGACCCTGTCATGATACAGGGTCAATGTCCTCCGCCTCCACTTCCACTGCTTCCTGGTTATTGCGAGATTGACCGAGTGAGCTCCGGTGTGGATGGGGATCTTGTAACTGGTCACAAGCATCTTCATCTCGTGTTAAGGTACCGTCAGTTTTCAGCTCAGGGTTACTGGACAACGTTGCTTCCATGTCAGGAGCAGAGATGTGTCTGTGTCTGTCTCCACTGTTGTCAAGTGCATAGTGTCGAGCGTTGTCTGCAATGGCGCCATGGTACTTCGGTATGATGACGAATTGTCCTGATTCGTCCTTCTCCATGCAAAATGTTAAAGATCCATCATCACTTCCGCCAAGAACATCGGGTGGACAGAAATCAAGATTGGATACGTCCCACTCGTTTCCTGAGCTAAGTCTCTCCGTAACCTCTGGAGGGAACACTGGATATGGATCATAGAATTCAGAGGAAGGATTTAATAATGGTACACTTTCCTGCAAGTCTTCATCACAAGGATGAGGAACAGGCTGTCTTTGAAGTAGTGGATTATTCACACACTGTTTTGTGCATGGACTACTTTGCCCTTGAAACAAAGACTCCTCCGTATATTCTTGATAAGGATATGAAAGTTGCCTGGGGATAAAGGACATCTCGGACATGCCAGGATGGCCCCTGGACCAGTCTGGTTGTTGTTCCGTAGGGAGGTGCTGAAGAACCTTGTTGATGGAAATATAACCTCCTGGTGGCTCTCGGGTGTCAACAACTGTTTGTCCAGGAGGATTATGATGTTGATACATCTTGGTCCGTCCAGGCAGATGACAACATGCTGCAGAACTGTTGTGATCCAATGAATCTTTATACTGTCCACTGTCGTCATAATGTCCGCTGTCTTCATAATGTCCGCTGTCATGGAAAGACTGATAGCCAAAAGGACCGCAAGGGTAGGCTTGACCTGACAAACTGTCATCCCATTTCCCAGGCCCCATTCTATGTTGGCCTGGAGTTGTATAAGGATGTAGGTTCTGTGGGGGATCCACATTGCAGTGACCAACCTTCATTATTCTTCCATGTGCATTTCCCATCTCATACATATCATAAAGGTGTGGGGCTTTTGATGGGTTACAATGATCTTGTCTGTATTCTCTTTCAGCATACATTGCCTCAACTGAGTTGTGTGGACTTGAAACAAATCCTGAGTCGGGTGCATAATTACTTGGCAGATCTGGTTGCCCTGGGTATTCAAGGTCACCATGACCATGACAAGCTATACCTGAACTCACCAAAGTAACACAACTCTTATCAAGATCTGAAGATTCTTTCAAAGTCGTGAGATTTGTTTGAGGTCTCAAGTTCTTTTTATCATGAAGGGATTTACGTGGTGAGGCAAACGGAAGTGACCGTTCAGACGCTTCTTGGTCATGTGCCACTTCCACATACTGGAGATCATTCATATCTGAAATTGAACTCATTGAAGAAAACTGACAATCATACTTCACAATTGTTACTCCAGTTATGCTAGATACTGCATCACTATCTGCTATGGATGGTGTCTGTCCTATGATAACTCTTTGTGGTTGAGGATTTACTATTTCTTTACAGAAATCTTTCCAAGTTTCTGACATCTTATATTTTTCATTCATCCCACGTTTCCTCAGCTTCTGTCCTAGCTTTGAAAAATCTCCCGGCAAAACATAGACATTGTCCTCACTTGAAGCTTTGCTGAAACAATTTGGTTTCATCCCATCCTCAGTATGTTTTTTATTAGTTGAAAAGACCTCCATATGCTTGTGACGTCCATCGAAACATACAATATATACATGGGAACATAATGCAGCATTGCCCCGAATCTGCTTCAGAGCCTGGTAGTAATAACTGTCCCTTTGATGCTTTTCCGATATTTCTTTTCCTAACCGGGAGCAAACAACTAGGATGGTGGAATCCTTTGCCTTGTCTTCAAACCATTTTGCCAGTCCAGTTCCTGTTGTGATCTGCTGCAACTGATCCTGGTCATAGTGGACATCGACGTGCAGGTTCTGCCGCAGGACACATGACAGCATCTTCACTCGGCTCTGGACATCGCTCGCACTCAGCAATAACATCCGTCCATTTTCTGAAACTATATTTAGAGAATATTCGAAACTGACAATGAGTGATAACATCCATATATTTTCATAATGTGTCATAAGGTGTGTTTGTTGTGTGAAGCTGCACTCAGCAATATTCCAGCTTTATGACAGCAGCCTGTCAATAATTGAGACTGGACCAGACAATCCAGTGATTGATATTGTGAGCAACAATCCATGCTGTTGGTGTACAATGGCACACCATTAACCAAGTCACCTAGTCTGACCACTCAATCCATTAAGTCGCCTCTTATGACCAGCAAATGTCACTAGGGGCCAGTTCTAAAATGGGATCTTCAAGTGGTAACTGCTTTTGCAATGTACTCATTTTGTCAAATTACCAGGGCCCACTTGCACAAAGGGATCTTAGCGCTAAGATGATCGTAACTACCATACTTTAACATAGGGTTACAATAGTCGTAGCACTAAGATCGCTTTGTGCAAGTGGGCCCTGATGATTTGATGAAGATGCTAGTATTGTTGTTGGTAAAAAGTCATCCAAAATTAGCAAGTGAAGTCATCCAAAATCAGCAAGTGACAACTCTGAAATGATAACAGGTCTAACATGATATAGATGTACTACATATTGGAATACAATCATCCCCCGCGATAACGCCCTTCACGATATCGTGGATTCGGTTGAACTGCTGGGTCATCACTGGCTCCCATAAATTTCATGCTGTTTCCATTCTGAATACACATACAGTCAAGTCTCGTTAATCCGACACTCGTTAATCCAACAATCGTCTTTATCCGACACTAATGATTGGAACCGATTAAATCAGTGCTATTTAGACTCATTAATCAGACAGTCTTGAACTCCGACACACCTAATTTGCAACGAATTACCGAAATCACTCTTGTTAATCCGACACAGTGATCAGCGTACTCCGTGGTCATAAGTCACACAGTAGTTTTGTGTTGAGCTTAAGAGGTTGCATGATTAGAAAACACATTCCGCTAACAATGTAACATAACAATATGAATATTTCATTTTTGTTTTCATATTACATGCTTGAATCGTTATTTATTGTGTAGTTGTCCGATTTTCGATAACGAACGTTGATATTACTTAATTTCGTTTATCCGACATACTCGTTAATCCTACATATTCATATGCAACCAACCATGTCGGATTAACGGGACTTGACTGTATTTGGTGAGAGTACAGCGATGACCTAATAAAATATATGTCCAAACAACTATGAACACCTGGTTTGTTTTTTTGTTCAAAAGACACGCCGTAGGTTCTCCATATTTAGGCCTGATGTATGCTGATCACCTTGTCAGCTGCATAGTTAAAGCATTCACTCATCACGTCAAATGTCCCGGTTCAATTCCTCACATGAGCACAATGTATAAAACCCATTTCAGGCGTCCACTGCCATGATATTGCTAAAATATTGCTAAAAGCAGTGTAAAACTCAACTCACTCACTCACACATCCAGATGTGGCCTTGTTTATCTTCCTTTCAGTAATTATCTTTTGAATATCAAAGATGGCTTCCTGACTGTCATCTTGATTTTGTGGTTTTGATGCCTTGACAAGTGACTTACCATGTGTTTGTCTGATGCAACCTTGGCCATGCCAACAGATGACGATCAGAAGGATCACGGCCAGAACTGCTCCGCTAATGGCCGCCAGAAGTATCTTCAGCGTAGAGTCTTCTTGTTTAATGGGGGCATCTGAGGAGAAGCAGCAACAACCAATTTTGAGGTTCACCTAACACTTGGGTGATGCATACTTTGGACTGTTAAATATTTTGAGATGTAAACAAACTTAGGAGAAATCCTAGATAATACATTTAAATTTTTCCCAATTTGGATGGGCCAATGAAAAACTGAAGTAATTAATAGCATTTGTTAAATAATATACTTAACATTAACACTATACAAATGCAAACGCTGAATCTATAAAATCTTAAATGATTAATCATGATTTTATTCTATGTCACCATGATTATTCTATTACTGATTTTCAACATGGGCAAATTGTTTTGTGATTTGTTTCAGACACGCAAAGATACATTCGTCACCACTTGCCCCTTTCCGTAACCTGCAAGAAGACTCGTCCCCCTATCGATGAATGTTTTTTGCGAAAATACGACAAACCAATCAGAATGCGCGTATGATTTCAAGCTCTTCATCAAAGAATCCCTCAGAAATAATTTTTATTTTAAATATGTCTTGCATCTAAAAATATACCCAAGACACAGTTAAATGTGTCAATCATACTCTATAATTTCGCATGTCCAGATGTGCTTTAAATTGCATCTGAAATATACATAATATGTGGGAAAATATTACGCAACAAGTTGACAATGTGTTTTAGGTATGCCCGTTTGAGCTAGGGCGAAACCTGGTCACAAAAATGGCCAAGAGAGGGACACGAGTCACTATTTGGCTTGTCCCAGAATAACACAAGTTGATCACGATTGGCAGAGATACTGACACAAAGCTTTCTACTGGTGACACAATGGAAGCCCTAGGAATTTGGCCCTAACAATTCGATAAACAAAAGACATCAATGTCATAAATTTGTTTCAGTCAGACAAGAAAAGTACTCAAAGATTTACTGTTTGTTGCTTAAACCACACTCTGTAATGTTTTAGCTATAAGCTCGAAAATGTGACCTCAGGTGTCAAACACCAGTGTTGTTATATTTCATAGCCATATAAGTTTTATAACATAACTCTGCTCACGAGCTCTGCAGTTAGCAGATGAAACGACTCTACTGAACATACGATTTTTTTAAACATTTTTCCATTTCTATTTCATCATTACTGTTATTTTATTTTCCCAATGAAATAAATATAATTACCATGAAAATATACAACTATTTATGTCTTTTTTAAGGTGTTTACACTTCTTTGATAACAAAAAGGGCACATATGTGAAACGTCAGGTCTGAAATGCTCTAACTGATTTTCCAGCACAGAGTCAAGGAAATTGGCCCTCGAACAAGAGGTCACCCTGATTGATATAATGGCAGCCTGTAAATAATGAAGTAAATAATTGAACAGATATTCCAAAGACATTCAATCAACACCAAGCCTGACCAGATCTATTATGTCACCTCATACGATCAAGCTAAGATAACTCGGGACCAACTCTAACCCGAATCCCCACTTGGAATTTTGGAGCTGTCCCTACCTGCAAGGACTTCAGAGTTGAATCCCAGACTGGGATTCTTGGTCTGTAATCATAACACACCTAAGTGTAAAATGTCTATGGTGTGCATTCCTCCTGTAATAACTCCACCCAAACCACCTGACTGACACACAGTACTCACCAATATATATCAGCTGAATGTTCTCGTACACGGTCTGTCCACAGGGGCTTGTGTTATTCACCGCCTTTGGTTCTACCTGCACAACAGTCAACCACACTATTGCCATAGAAAAATATCACAGATACAATATATGTAAACATATACAAATCAGAAAATTAGAAAATGAAATTACATTGGCATTATGTTTTCTGAAAGTTTTACAAATTTATGTATCGAAAACCACTGGCACAACATATTTTCTGAGATGAAAGAACATGGCAAGATAGAAAAAAATAGACCAAATGACCAAATATATAACTCACTAAAGATGTCTATTATGTACATCAGTAAAACTCACATATACTAAGTTCTAAGTTCACTGAATGATATCAAGTTTGCTTATGTGATTTGATTCCTGCAATTGTATATTGTATGCTCAGTAGAGTAAGACCACCTTCTCCAAAAGAAGATGACAAATCCCACTGGCCCCTACAAATTCGAAAGAACAAATAGTCTAAAATCATCTGATGTCACTTTAAATCTAGCGTGATGAGAGACTTTCTCTCTAATCTGTCTATACAAGAGTAGTTATTGAGCTATCAAAACAATACCATGGAATTGTGATTTGGAACTTTGTATTTCTATGTCAGGTACACACCACCATGAATCGAGTCAAAGTCAAGCTTGTTGCCATGGAAACAGAACAAATAATAAATGCTAAAAATCATATATCATTATATGCCGGGGAAATAAAAGTAAATTGTGTGCAGAGATTAAGTACAAATAGTCACCCACTTTTGCTGAGTAGGTAAAATATTCACCACATCCTGATGTGTCCGATCTGGTGTCAGATCTGTCCTCAGGTCTATATCCCCCCTATTTGGGGAGGATATAACAATGTTTCAAGGACAAATGAAGGGGAGATAACTTACCTTGACTATATAATAACCAGGCTTGAGTTTCCCAAATTCATGCTGTTCAAATCCATAATCTTTCTGCATAAACAGACAAAAATATTCAATGTTAGCATTATAAATACATTTTTTTGTTAAACAAGTACTGGGTTTGAAATGGGAGGTCTGGCACTTGTTCTGATTTCCGGTCAATCAATCAAAAGCCTTCAAATCACTCTCACGATTAGTATGTCAGTTTCCTAAGAAATCCCAGAAAGTTGCTCTCAAAGCTACAATTTGGCTTCAAAAGATAATAAGAATATAACACATATTCAGATATTTCAGCTTCTTATCAAGCATGGAAGATTACTTATCCGATCAAGTTTTATACTTTGTGTGTGCATGCGTGCGTGCATGTGCCTGAGTTATAAGGAAAATAAGATATTGACTTTTACATAAAAAATGATTATTGGACATACAATACAAATGTTACAAAAAACAAACAAAATTGTTTCCTCTTCTTTTCACAGAAAACAATGTCTTGACACAATGGCCAATAAAAAGACACTGTCTCCAACAAAAAAATGACAAACACCCAACGTAATTAGATTGTTGGTCGACTCTAAGTACATAGGACGCACCTCAATGGTACTAAGAAGCTGCTTCTTCTGGTACAGTGACACATTATAGTGAGTAATCCTGGCTTCTGTTGGTCTCTCCCACACAACGTGCACGCTCTGCCGGGCTGGAATAGCGGCTAGTGCCAGTACCACGCGACACTTGGGGTCTTCTCGTGGCTCACCTGATCAACAATCACAATTATTTTATTATTTGGGACAAAATCTTAAAAACATAGCCAAACTACAACTTTCTCTCCCTCTTACTTTTATTCCCCCAATTGTTTCTCCATAAATGAAAAAAACAAAAAAAAACAAAACTGTAGTCAATTCCTAAATAAGATTTTTTACCACCAACATGAACTCACTGTGTATGACGAGGGTGTATGACGTTTCTGCCTGTGATGGGAGTGAAGTCAGCTTCAGCTGGTAGTAATACGTGACTCGATTCAGGATCGTCAGGCCCACCAGGCACTCATACTTGATCTCACGCTGAAACAAACAGCATCAGGCATGTTGACTCACTCTAACTTGATCCACATGTCCAGTTTCTTTTATGCTTCCAGCAATCCAAAAACGTCTTTGCCTGTTTTGGTTTAAATTTCTTTTTTAAACCCAATGTCCTTAAAATCAGATCTTATGACAACTGCTACGCAAAGACCTGGGCCCACTTGCACAAAACGATCTTAGCGCTAAGACTATTGTAAGTAAAGATCATCTTAGTGCTAAGATGATCTTTGAGCAAGTGGACCCTGATCTCACGCTGAAAAAACATTAAGCATGTTGACTGAAGATTGGTCCTATGTCTAGTTTCCTCTGTGGTACCAGAAATAAAAAAATAATAATTCATGTTTATGTTTATGATAAGCTTGTGTTGGTTGAAAGATATTTACTGTAAAACCAATCTTCAAAATCATATCTTAGTGCTCACTACTGCTTCACAAAGACCTGATGACATAACATTACAGGTCATGTCAGAATGACCTATCATGACCTGTGACAACCAATGAAATGACTGACAGGAATTAGACATAAGCCAATCAGAAAGCAGCCTTCTCAAGCATTTTTGCCACTAGTTATTAAAATTCCAGACTACATTTTGAAAAATATTTTGACCACATTTTCAATTCAAAATTTGAAAACTCAGCAAAAGAAAATTCAGGAATGGCTGAGATTGTATGGCGGTACTTCCAATGGGCTATGGAAAGTCTCTCCCATTTCAAATATCTGTACCACTGAAATGAGAGATGTCTGGTATTTTGTACAGTCAATAACTGTCATTCGGAATGCCACGTTGAGGTTCACATGTTTAGGAAACACATTCGGTCTTTCACTTTCGTGATCAAGGAAGTGGTGCTTTGATTGGTCGGATGAAAGGTAGTTCTGATGTGACCTGTGATGGGATGTTTTAATCTCAGAAATCTAAGATCTGTGTGGAGGTAGGAGTGAGTGAGGTTTTACGACGCTTTTAGCAATATTCCAGCAATATCATGGCAGGGGACACCAGAAATGGGCTTCACACATTGTACCCATGTCGGGAATTGAACCCGGGTCTTCGGCATGACTAGTGAACGCTTTAACCACTAGGCTACCGGACCGCCCTGTGGAGGTAGGAAGCATAATTATTGTATTTGGAATGACATTATGTGGGGCCTGGACTGTTGTGGACAACATTAAGCTTCTAAAGTTCCAAAATATCACCATGTAATTCCAGTCCTAAAACATGACTTTCAGACCAGGGTGACGTTGTACAGAGCGTTCTTAGCGCTAAGTTGATCATAACTTCCATACCTTAACATAGAATGACAACAGTTGTAGTGCTAAGGTTGTTTAGTACAACGACACCCTTGACCTTAATAAAGACAACTTCTTAAGAGCCAACAATTAAGTACAAGTAAAAGTGCAACAGTAACTGCCAATGAATGATACAACTATTTTGTAATATTCTGAAAGATGACCTTGACCTTTGACTGAAAAGGCACCAACGTGTCATGTTGTAGCATTTGTAAAGAGACATGTCTGTAGAGGTAACGATGCCTCAGAAACCCTGACTTCAGCATAAAGTCCCGTGCCTTTAGAGGTATCAGAAACTGACCATAACACAATCTCATTAAAATGAGATCTTAGTCCTCGTTATCGCTAAACAAAGATCAGTGGATACCCATCACGGGTCACGTCACAACGACCTTTGATCCGACCAATCAAGGGTCTTTTACCAGATCATAAAGTGACAGTCGGAATGTGTTTTCTAATCATGCAACCTCGAAAATGTTAACACAGTGTATTCCAAACGACAATTACGGCCCGTACGACTGATTCTGACACCATTATCATCTTTCTCTCGCTTCTGTCATAGCGACTGATTTACGACACCCATTGTCTGAAGAACATTTAATTGCAAAGGCTCATTACCCTGGAGCCATGACATCTATATGCCTTGAAACACTTAATTGCTGTTATTTATAAGATGCTAATCCTAATTGTTAATCCCCATTTTTGTGTACATCGACCGTCTGCCATCCTGAACGAGATGTGCAAGTATGTCACTGATGAATTACTGTTTATATTTTTATTTATTACTTACTAAATGTCAGGTGACCTTGGCTATATAAGCCTTGGTCCAGAGAGATTGAGAGAAGGGAAAAGAAAAGTCTTACCCTTAGCCTAGCTAGGGTTAGGCTGGGTGCTCCGGGGCACCTAGACAACAACCACTACCACTATGTGCTGACCTGGCACATAGTGTCTTTTGTATGTATATCTACATGTATAAAGTAAAACTGTATATACCGCAAGCCATCATCTCCAAGTTGTCACTTCCTACTGAGAACCATACGTCGGCCCCTTGCATATACGCGTATGCAGGTTATTCATTAAGCAACGTCAGACCGCCACGCGTTGCTACTTCCATGGGATAAACATTTGAAAGGAGGAGGCGTTGCACAGTACTTGGGAAGCACTGCCATACAATCTAAACCATGTATTAGACATTCCGGAATGTTTGTTTGTTCAGTTTTCAAAACTTTAATCGAGAACTATGTCAACATATTTTTCAAGCGTAGTCTGAAATGGAAAGCGCCAGGTTGAAACAAGTGCTGTAAAGCTCGAGAAAGCTGCTTTCTTACTGGCTGATATCTACTTCTTGTTAGTCATTTCAGTTGCCAGTCAAAGGTCATAGCGGCAGCGAGAACATAGATCTGATTTTAATGTGATTGGACCATAACATAACAATGTTTTTCAAAATCTGATGTTGACCTTGACCTATGGCTAATCTTGACCACAACCTTTTCCTGGAGAAGGTACATACCAAGTTTATTGATAAATGGCCATGGCAGATAACTGTATCCATAGTGTGTTCTTACTGGCTGATATCTACTTCTTGTTAGTCATTTCAGTTGTCAGTCAAAGGTCATAGCGGCAGCGAGAACATAGATCTGATTTTAATGTGATTGGACCATAACATAACAATGTTTTTCAAAATCTGATGTTGACCTTGACCTATGGCTAATCTTGACCACAACCTTTTCCTGGAGAAGGTACATACCAAGTTTAATGATAAATGGCCATGGCAGATAACTGTATCCATAGTGTGTTCCTTAAGTTCTTTTGTGTAGTATTTATCCATAAAAAGCATGATGCTTCTGTTGGAAAGTGAAACCAATCAATTACCAATGAAATTTAAAGAACCCTATTTATTTGTTTAAGCGAAGAAAATAAGGCTACATTTTATCAAAACTGTTATTTTTTTAAACCATCAATAATGCAATGGATGTGCAAACAAACATTTTTAGAGTGAGAGAGTTTGGTTTGAACAGTATTTCAGTAATAAAATGGCATGTTAGCTTGAGGAAGACTTATGTAATCCTGGTGTTAGATGTATAATTCTTAAAATGATCGGGGGGCACGGGTGGCCCAGTCGTCTAAGGCGCTTTGATTGGCTGTGCAGAGTTTCATCCCTTGGGCACGCCAGAAACCTATGATTGTGGGGTCCAATCCCGGTTCGCCCCAATTATGTTTCTAGGTTTGTCAGCACCATACCCGTGCTCGTGGGTTTCACCGAAGTGGTAAACTGAGACCTGCATCACTTCGGGCTTTCCTCCCACATTAAGCTGACACGCCATGATATAACTGGAATACTGTTAAAAGCGGCGTTAAACCCAACTCGCTCACTCACTTAAAAAGATCAATTCAATTTGTATTTTTTATTTGGGTCAGTGAATCCATAATTGAGACAAATTACAACAGTGTTGCTTTGTGATTAGGTCATTAAATGGACAAGCTGCTTGCATGTGGCTATAACTGTTTTAAGCACCCTGCTAAAGTAAGTGCTCCTTGACCCAACTTCTTTGCCAACCTGTCAGTAGTGTTTATACTTCTCCCCTACATCAATCTCATTAAAATCAGATCTTAGTTTTCACTACCGCTAAACAAAGATCTGAGAACATCCCATTAGGGGTCCGTCAGAACAACGTTTCATTAATTTTGACCGACCAATGAAATGACTGACAAGAATTCGACATCAGCCAATCAGAAGGCAGCTTTCTTGAGCTTTATGACACTAGTTTCAAATCGGCAACTACGTTCCGAAACATATTTTGATGTATTCTCGATTAAAATGTGAAAACTGATAAGAAGAACATTCTGGAATGCCTTTTTGATGGCCTAGATTGTATGGATATAATCATAAAACCTGTAACTGTTGTTTGGAATACCCCGTGTTAATTATATCATTGTTGCATGATTAGAAAACACATTCCGACTGTCACTTTCATGATCTGGTAAGCAACGCTCTGATTGGTTGGATGAAAGGTCATTCTGACATTCTGACGTGACCCGTAATGGGTTGTCCTCAGATCTTTGTTTAGCGATAACGAGAACTAAGATCTGATTTTAATGAGATTGCCCCTACATGACAGTCCATATTACTTGTGTATATTACAGATTCTGTACAGAAAACAACAGTGCATAAGGAGTAGAGAATTACCTTGTAACTCTCATTAAAAAGTTCTAATTTCTATGCACACCCTCACCTTTGTAAATCTTCCATTATAGCAAATACGGTCCCACCCAATCCCGTTAACCGCCTCTTACGGCAAGCATGGGTTACTGAAGACCAATTCTAACCAGGATCTTCATGGCGGCTTTCCTCCCACATACATGAAGCCCACACACTGTGATATAACTGAAATACGGTCTAGGAGCAGTGTTAAAGCAACCTTACTCGTTGAATAACTTACATCTTTGCTGTGACAAATGACAAGGAATCATTCAAGTGGTAACCGAGGGGTGATAACAGCATACCACTAATCAAAATCATTGTAACAACGCTTCACTGACTTTGCTGTTATGCAAAAACACACATTACGACATTTAAATTGCAATCTACATTTTGAAGAGGGAGCCTTCATATCTCTGTAAGTCATCACACATATTTACATGACTGATGACAGACATTCTCTACAGTGAGTGTCAGATATAAGAGATATGGGAACAATAGACCCAGGTGGCACTCATGCTTATCAAACATGTTGACAGCTGCATTTTTATTGACTGTAATATGAGATCCAGGAAGCAGTATCAACTGAATGAGGGATGTCACTGTGATATATGATCTCGGCAAATGTTAGAAACAATCAACATGGAATATCGGGTGGTACTTTGAAGCTTCAGTTGACAGCCCAGAGATTTTGGCATCAAATATATTTTGTGAGTGAGTGAGTATGATTTTACACTGCTTTTAGCAATATTCCAGCAATATCACAGCGGGGGGACACCAGAAATGGGCTTCACACATTGTACCCATGTCTGGAATCGAACCCGGGTCTTCGGCGTGACGAGCAAATGCTTTAAAAATATGTGAAGTACTGGTGTCCTGTACCTCTTATGGTATTTGTACATTTGGGATAGGGGCCCTTTCGGCCCACTTGAAATGTACAATTTCTAAGTTACGGAAAACTTTATTGATGGTATGAAGATTATAAGACATGTTCAAAGAGTCAATAACTAACATATCTTCTTTCAAACACTTTCAAGACTTCTAACATGTTTAAGTACACAAGAAGGGCTTAACTTTAGCATTAAGTAAAATGGCTGATTTTTCAAACTTGAAGACTTGAAACTAGAGGTGAAACAATACATTGGTGCACCGGTGCATCGTGAGTTTTCATGTGACGATACAATAATACACGATACCATCTCCACAGCTTGCTTTTCCTTGAACCTTCATTCAAATATTAAACATGTTTAATATCAAAAAGTTTCCATGCGATTTGAGGTAAACATGCGTAATGTGATATGAATCCTATTGTCACCGATGTATCGTGATACGTATCGTATCGTGACCTTGCTGTATCGTTTCACCCCTACTTGAAACACACACCACATGCTGGAGTACTCACTGGCACATTCTGTACAAGTGTGGCAGAACTGAAGTCAAACACGCGACATATTGGGTTTTTCTTGTAGTAGTCATCTTGACCCAATGGACAGCTGAAATCCACAAGCACAGCCTTTGTCCTTAAAGCTTCAATCCCTGAAATAACAACACCGAGACGACATCAGGCACCATATAGAATCCAGTTCATACCATCAAGAATAAACCGTTAATTGATAGTCATGTCTTACATGCTGAAGGATGACAAAGAAGACATAATTTATGGATCACAATTTCTTTAATATACTTTTGTTTGTTTGTTTGTTTGTGGCATTAAACCCAACTCACTCACTCTAATGTTGTATTCTAATAAATTACTGGTACCAGTTTTTCCACTGCTGGTTTTAATGGACACAAAGACATTTTTTTCATCCAAAAGAGTTTTGAGTGTTTTCTTTTGCCTGCCAGTAATTTTTTCAATGCTGAATTTCTGGCAGACTCTATCGTAATCATTGGGACTGGCAAGCATGTTGTTGATATCGCTAACCCAACATTGAGACTGGTTTGTAACTCGCATTTTGATTGGTCCATTTGACTGTGTAGCGTAGCAAATCAAATGGCTAATGGAAATCAAGGACAGGTAATTTGAGATCGAGAGAACCAAGGGAATGGATCGATGGGCCTTTAGCGTAGGTTTACCATATGATATTCTTTGTTTGTTTGTTGTTTAACGCTGCACTCAGCAATATTCCAGCTATATGACAGCGGTCTGTAAGTTATTGAGTCTCGACCAGATGATCCAGTGATTGACATCATGAGCATTGATAATTGAGATATGATAACATGCATCACTGGACATGCATCAACCAAGTAAGCGAGTCTGACCACCCGATCCCATTGGTTGCCTCTTACAACAAGCATAGTCGCCTTTTGCAGCCAGCAAACATATGCAGCTAACATGACAGTATTTTAAACGACTGGGCAGTGTTTGTTAAAGTTGGTAAAAAGATGGGCACTTCAGCAACCCATGCTTGCCGCAAAAGGCGACTTTGCTTAGACCTATTCTACCACGGATCTTTACGGGTCCCCTGGAGATGTAGAGGATGCAGTTCTTCCAGAATGACCCACCTCCTTCTTTAAACAAACCCTCCCTGCTGAACATGCTGAAGAGCCCATCTTTTCACCAACTTTATCAAACACTGCCCAGTCATTTAAAATACAGTCATGTTAGCTGCATGTGTTTCAGATTCAGGGTGAATCTGGGATTCAAACCTGAAATCACAGGTTTCTAGCACACCTAAGGGACACAACTCTGCAAAGACAGCTGGGCCACCTATGCCCCTAATGAAAGTAGCCAATTTTGTTTTGTTTTTTGTTTCAGATTGAATATCTTATGGTTACGGCTTCAAGACAAACATTTTTTTCTCTGAAAAGTGGAGCCAAACACATTATTTAGGGTAAAATACCCAAGTCAAATTTGTTTTTAGCTCAACTTAAAGTATATCTGTTATTGGCCATTACTCAGTCATTTTAGTTCAAAACGTAATGCAATTTGGTATATGTGTAGTTAGTAGGGGGACTCATTTGACCAAACGTAAACCTGAAACTTTTTATGACCATAACTTCGTCATTTTAGTCCAAACCAAAATGAAATGTGGTACATATGTAGTTAGTTGTGAGGCTCAAAACATTATGCTCCATTTTTAAATTTTGACCTTCATTGGACCATTGCACTTTGACCATGCTCCTAAATCTTCAAATATGCATATTTCGCTGTGAACATTCTGTTCTCAGAAACCACTTGATCAATAAAGCTGATACTGCACATGCTTGTTTCATACATATTACGACATCTGAATTTGTCTTAGAGGTTCAAATCTGATTTTCAATATGGCTGTCACATTTTACATAAAACTTTTTCCTTCTGCCTTCAGGGATACAAATCTGAAAAAGAAGTAATTTAATTGACCTGGCCTCATTGAAAAGGTACTACTTTCTACAGCTTACCTCCATGTGGTGTCTTAAATGAGTATGTAAGACTTGGGTTGTTGACACGCAGATAGGTACCGATGGTTGCCAGTAACGCAAAACTGTGGAACGCCACGGACGGGGAGTTGTTGTACTGCTTACTATTGTTGTTGCACTCTGAAACAATCAACACTTTTTGAGACTAACTTATATTCAAATAAGGGTCATGTTAAATGAATCATATCACGTTCATCATATCGCACCTCACTTAAATTTATTAGCCATAATGTGTAATAATGTAGCTCCTATTCATCTCCATTTGCGTGAACAAAGTAGACACAATTTATGGATAATAACTTCTTTAATTACTGAAAAGGCGACGTTTTGGTAAAGATCCATATACCGTTGTCAATCCATTTGCCAATCTTTGCATACTGCAACATGTCTTCTTTCAGATAATGACAGGGAATTTAGAGACAAATGGTCTTACTTCAGTTGACATTTTTGCTTCAAGGATGAACAGTGTTTCGCCTGCACTGACAAGATACCTTGACAAGGATGCAAAGATTAAAGACACCCTCATGTATGGTTGGTAAATGTCAAAACTGTCTGCGTATTAGTGGCAAGAAGCAGTGCTCAGACTTGACACGGTACCCAGTGAAAATACTGACTCTAATTAGGGCTGGGATGGGTAACTCGGGTACTCGGGTCGGGTCGGGTCAGTTGGATCTTGAATAGGATCCAGGTACCCACAGGACTACCCGGACCCGTGGTTAGTCACTTGATATATTGTTTAATGAACAAAACTCACTATAGCTCAGTGGTTACACTATAGTCGCTAATGTTCGCATTTCATTCTGGCGATGCACACATTCATTTCGACTTGTATATGTGTGAGTAAAGATAAAGCTTCAGTCAACTTCACGGTACGCATGATCTGATCGTTTGATACATGTATCTAATCAGTTCGCCTGATTCATGTCACTGCTTCCAGAATGAACTTGAGACAACAATAAGTGAGCGAGCGAGTGAGTCGGGTTTTACGCCTCATTTAGCAATATTCCAGCAATATTAGGGCGGGAGACACCAGAAATGGGCTTCACACAATGTACCCATGTCGGGTATCGAACAAGGGTCTTCGGCATGACGGGCGAACACTTTAACCACTAGGCTACCTAACGGCCCTGCTTCCCGATTTTTAGGAACCTGAAATGACAATGAACTCCAGTATGATAAGATAATAATGTGTCATTTTATTCATGCAAGCAAGTACATTGACATTTCTCACATGACTTTCATGCTCACATTGACTGCACGACTTACACTATAAGGAAAAGGGAAGTTTGCCACTGTCTATATCAAAGAGGCTTTTTCCAGGACAACGCAGTTTATTTCAAGAAAAGCAAATCACAAAAACTGATCCTCTTTCTATATCCTACAAGGCTAATTGGCTACGATTGCTTTGTGGGATGGGCCCTGAAAACTCGGATAAGTTGATTCAGGATATAGAATGCTACAATGGGTATTCATGCTAAGAATATGAAAAAAGAAAATTGCCTCTCTGCATCATGGAATCTGGCTTTTTATGCGGGAAAATGCAGTTAATTTATAAAAAATGTACTTCTTTCTGTATCCTGCAAGCTGGTTAATTGCTGGTTATTGATACTTTCCAGAAAGATGCTGTCAGTTTCAAGGTAAGGTGAGGTGAAATTGGGTTTAACGTCGTGTTTAGGACTATAACACTTATATAGCGACTTGCGTGTGTGTGTGCGCGTGTGCTTGCGTGCGTGTACTAGCCTGGACTGATGCCGATTTATAGTGCTAGCTCACTGAGATACCATGCCGCAGTTTAACATAAATACCCCACTCAGACACAGTATACTGACTCCGAGCCGACCAGTCCTTGTTTTAGCCCTTAATGCCGAATGCCAGACAGGGTAACAACAAGTACCAACTTTTAACGTCATTTGGTATGACGTGGCTGGGGATCAAACCCCAGACCTTCCACTCTCCGGTTGGACGCTCTACCACTAGACCACAGATGCGGTCAGTTTCAAGAATTTAAAGAAAGAAAATTGCCTCTGTATCCTGCAAATGTGGCTTGTTTTGAAAAGACATTGTTATTACTTTCAAGACAAAAATTGCGCGAATAGAATGTCTGCCTCCATCAGCGTCTGATGTGTATAAAAGAGCCTCAAACGCACCATGCTGATTGGGCTGGTATGTACTGCCATTCGCTAGAACTGCAGATAAGAACAACGAAGACCATTTTTCCTCTTCAATATCAAGAAAAAACACACATTAACATCAAAATGCTTCCTGAATTTGAAATAATGTGGTAAAAAGAATGTTTTTTCGAGGAATAACAATGGCAATAAATTCTAAATGTTGCTTAGAATGACATAATATGCTGATAAGAACCGAGATGAAATAACCACTGAAATCTGAGTAACAAATCACGTATGGTACATTTAATTTGTATTGAGAGACAAAAAAGCTCACCATCTTTATGTCCGATCTGACAGGGGAAGTATGGAAGAGGACCAATTGCCTGAAAAACAAATAAAGAAACAATTATTTCAGAAGCTGATTCTTCATCAATAGAGCTGTGAATGGCTATGTTAAGGATAAAACACGACTCCTCGTTTTGGGTTGAAAATGTAAAACTGCGAGAGAGGGAAAAGTCTGAGGGCTTTTCAGGGCATTTTAGGGCTCACAACCGAGGAGTTGGGTTTTATCCAACTTATGAACCGTATAATTGCAAGAAATACCAGAAAATTAAGAAAACACTGAGATACCATATAGATGTAGTGAAACAATACAGTGTGTGCAGCATGAACCAACTGAATTTATGACATATAAAAATATGGCACAGTGGGTTACAAAACTTAACACAATATGTGAGGTTGCAGCTTCAATTCATGTCATGAAATTTTCACGTAAATAAAATTGTGACTTTTAACCAATCAAAACTCAACATTACATTCATATCATAAGGCCAGTTTACAAAGTGTCAATTGTAAAACCAAGGTCTTACAACTGAAATGTAAAACCTCAAAGCAGGCTTTGAAGTGACCCAGTTCCCAAAACCTAGAATATGAAGTCAGCCATTTCAAAATCCCAGTTTGGGAGATGAGCTGGTTACTGATTTACTTCCTAAGTAGATATAGCCGAGGTTGTCCAGAACCTAATGTTATATAGGGTAATATGGTGATAGGTTTGTTTATAAGGCAGAGTGACCAAAGGCTAGATACAACACATCAAATTGGGCCAAGATGGAGTATCAAATCAAAACTTAGGTATCAAATACAAAATGATATATGGATAAATACATATAGGGTGGACATACATAACGGTATGATTTATTTGTTTGTTTGTTGTTTAACGCAGCACTCAGCAATATTTCAGCCATATGACAGCGGTCTGTAAATAGTCAAATCTGGACCAGACAATCCAGTGATTCATATCATGCAATTGTGAGCAATGACATGCATCAACCAAGTCACCAAACTGACCACCCAATCCCGTTAGTCGCCTCTTATGACAAGCATAGTCACCTCCAACCCCAAGCATGGGTTGCTGAAGGCCAATTCTCTACCCAGATCTTCATGGGTTGTAAAACAGTACGAAAATGAATATTATTTTCTGATGGTATGAACAAATGTAATTTAACTTCCATTATTCTATTTTGGTGATGGAAAAGGGTTCCTCAATATGACTATAGCCATGTTTTAATGTATTGTCACCTGCAATGATTGGGATCTTATTGTGAAGATACATTTCATATACTTAACAACTGTGCTTCGTGGTCCATTCCACAAAGTGACAACAGCCTTCAGCTGTTTCCGGAAAACAATTTTGCACAAAGCAAAATCATTGCTAACATCCGTTTGTGGGATGGGTCCCTGAATACGCGGACAAATTGATTCCAGATATAGGATGGTACAATGGGTATTCATGCTGAACGCTTCTCTTGTCTGTGAACACAGCTGGATTTGTATCATTCATGATGCTTGATGAGGGGGAAAGAACTAGCTTTGAAACGGTGTGTACATAGAACACAGGAGCTGAAACCCATATATATCATGTGATGTACTCTTTCTTTGATACATAAACATGTATGCAAACAAAGTAATGCGATGCACTAATATTTTAAAGACCCCTGACAGCACTAACTTTCTGTTTGTGAGGCCGACCCATCAGCTGTCACTATACAATTAGCTCGCTGACCATTACAGAACTGAATACCTTGGGATGACACCGGATCTGATCTGTTACCAGTAAGCACCGGTTTTCCCCACTGTTTCAACATCATCATAATGTTTGCAAGAAGCATGGATTTCTTATTGTGAAATATTAATCTTATCTTCAACTCTCTACAGCCCACTGAGTTGGACAATAGTTGTTAGTTTATTTGTTGAAAATGTGACCACGTTTGGTCTGTACTTCTTGACCTGTACAAGGACGTTATCGTACCCAGACAGGATCTGAAATGTGACAGAACGGTTTACTGAGTACTGCTGTGCGGCGTCAGACAACCAACACTTACTTTCTTCATGCAATTTGTGTCAGTGCCGGGTGCTACCAGTAGTGTTAACACTGATTTTCAGCGATCCATTCCTATAATTTTCACCATTACTTTGCCTTTTCTTCCCAATGTAATCTGTTTCGGTGGATAATCAAGACTGGTTATTATCTGGCTTTGATGTATATTTACATCTTTACATCACAAAAAAGGTTTGTTTTCAGGTCATAAGGCCGAACGATGATGTTGATCTTCCATGGACAGACCGTCAGAAGACCTACATCCCCAAACAAGTAATCAGACTAGTTTTAGGTCTCTTGATATACACCTCCATACAGTACATAGGATAGAAGTGTGTTTTTGTCACGTGTGCCACAGAGTGTCTTATGGGATTTAAGTGTGCTAAGAGGCAGAAATAGATTATTTTAAAGTACATCTATTAGGGCAGAGACGAGTAACTTGGGTACTCGGGTCGGGTGGGTACTGAATAGGACCCGGGTACCCACAGGACTACCCGTATCCGTGGTTAGTCACATGATATATTGTTTATTTACTAGATTTACCCATAACTCCATTGTTACACTGCAAATCACTATTGTTCGATTTCTTGCTGACTATGCACGCATTGCTTCTGACTTTTATATGTTTGAATAAAGACAAAGCTTTAGTCAACTCCAGTGTATGCATGACCCGAACATTCTAAATAGTTTTTACCAGGGCTGCGGTCCAAGAAATTGTGTACCCAACTCTTCAGACCAACAACGGGTACCCAGGTGGGTCGGATAATAGGGTGTTTGGTACCCGGGTAGTAAATATGGACTCGTCCCAGCCTTTAACATCTAACACACCAGAAAGAAGGATAAGTCCAAACACACCAGAAAGAAGGATAAGTACAAACACACCAGAAAGAAGGATACGTCCAAACACACCAGAAAGAAGGATACGTCCAAACACACCAGAAAGAAGGATAAGTCCAAACACACCAGAAAGAAGGATAAGTCCAAACACACCAGAAAGAAGGATAAGTCCAAACACACCAGAAACTTATATCAGCAGTAATCATATATAATGTCACTGACATGTCAATAAAAGGAATGTTTCTAGCTGCAGGTTTCGAGAAAAATATTTTCAAAATAACTTATACGGGTTTCTCTCACACCTGTATTTGTTTATCACATTTTTTATCTCAATGATGTATTCAGAAGCTAACCTGCAGCTGGTTAATAAGAAGAGGAACAGATACGTGATACGCACACCCCCTTGAAAACTTCCTGTTTCGGGGGGATTTATCTAGGCTTCCAAACTAAGTGCCCTTGGCAGGCAAATAGAGAACAAAATCATATTTTATATTCATATTTTCCCAAATTAGATGGTACCTGTATTCTAAACAATGAGTAAAACTATGCCTAAAAGCGCCTTTGATCCACTTAATTGGCAGTGAAATACAAGTCAGCTGTACGGAGCCACATTAGTTATCCTTGGTGGTAACTATTACAACATGAATTGGGAAAGTTTTAAATGCAATTTGAGAATTTGGTTTGACAATTGCTTCTGATTTGGGGCATTTAGTCAAAACCTTTCCATTATGATAAAAGTCCATTGTATGACTCTGACAATAACATAAGCCTGTGCTTGTGAATCACTAGTGATGATACCAGGTTTTCACCAAAAGGTGAGCAGATCCTGCCCTGCCGGTGGTACCCATCACAAACACATGCAAAGGCAAGTCAACTGTTCACTGAAACAACACAGGAACATATGGTTCAAGTCAAAATTTTGGATTGTATCCGACATGACTGTAGAACTTGAGATTCTGTAAGTCTCGGAGTTGTCACTGTGTCAGCATTAAACTGAATAGATGACGAATGCTAAAAGACGCCAACAGCTTGTTTGAAATTAATAGACAGCCATGGGTGTCTAATAGAGGAAATATGGTAAGTAGACGGGATCGCAGTCAAAGGACCTGTCCTCTTGTTTCCAAATCAAATAGCAATACAGCCATTGCATACTGCAGTTTATTGCAATACATTTTAACTGGCAATACTCTTCCTTAATCGTGACAAATTTTCACTTCCAGAACACACCCCTGACCAATACATTTGATAGGAGATAAGGAAACTGTAGGAATGGGTGATTTCTGACAAGGAAATAAAACTGAGTTTTTTACATCGATCCTGTAAATACAGTTTGAAGTGAATATTTAGACAACATTTGTAACTGGTTTAGCAATTCTACAGACCTGAAAAAAATGAAAAAAATGGCTAAAAATAAAATCTTCTGAAAATATAAAATGTCAATGTCTGAGAATAACCAGTCTCGATTACCTGGCAAAACAGATTCCATTGGGTGTAAAAGGCAAAATAGCAGTGAGAATTATATGAATGGATCACTGAAAAATCAGTGATGAAAACTGAAGTTCACAAAAAGGTATGCATGTCCTGCCTTACAGCACTATGCAGAATACAAACTTGTTTTTTCTTCACAAAAAGGTGCACACTATATATCAATGATGAGATAAGATTAACTTAAACTAGAAAATGTTCAGATGACACTTGGCTCTTTGTTCCATTCTTCCCTCTTACCAACCCATTATTTCCCAAATTATAAAGACCCGTGAAGATTCTGGGGATCGGGTGGTCAGGCTCGCTGACTTGGTTGATGCATGTCATCGATCCAAATTGCGTGGATCGATGCTCATGATATCAATCACTGGATTGTCTGGTCCAGACTCGATTTTTTTTACCGACCGCCGTCATATAGCTGGAATATTGCTGGGTGCGGCACTAAACAACAAACCAACCAACCAACCCAAATTATAAATTGAGAAAAAGACAATGTTTATTGCCATGGAATGACATGCCTAAATGATATGTCTGTGTAAGATCACTTCCTCCTTGATTCAGTCATGTCAACATCACTATTATAAACACCTACTGTCACATTTGCCTATTTTATTACAGGTGTCTTCCTCTCCTATTAGCCTCTTGGGAGGTTTTTTACGTTTTCCTAGTAAGACCTCATCCTTG